TCTTCCAGACGAGCAGGTTTCTTGATCTTCCTTCCTGCCCTAGTTGTACCAGTGGATTCTTGAATTTTGTCCAGGTCACCAACAATGTCCTGCTCGTTTGTCTCTATAACTGTATCATCTGTTTCACTTGAATCCTCCAGGCTGTCATCTGTATTAATGAATGTGTTCTCCTCACTATCGACACCAGGTGAGCTCTCATCCCCTTCAAAATATTTGTTCCTTAGTCGCCGTATCCACAATGGCAATTCCCTGTCATTGCATCTCTTTAATTTGTCATGATGTAGAGTAAATCGTCTCTCTTTCTGATCTACAACAGTGTATAATGGTGGATCTGCTGAAATGACAAGGTAGGGACCCCTCCAGGGTGACTGTAACTTGCGACTCTGTCCTACTGTTGTTGCCTCATTTAGCCTGTAGACGATATGTCCTTTCATTTAGCTTCAAATCGTATAGGCGTTTCTGCCTTCTCTGTACCCTGTCAAGTTGCTTCCTCGCAAACGAGTGTGCCTCCATCATAATCTTGTCCAGATGCCTCACCCATTCATTTGGCTCATATTCAGTCAACGTAAGATTTGACATTCCAGTCACAATATCAGGTGGCAAATTAACTTCACGTCCAAGCATGAGTCTGTTAGAGCGATTCTTTATTTGAACTCGGAAGGCATTGGCCTTCCGATGGAAACTGGTAATCTGCAACGGGAGGATGTTTTTACACCATTTATCTAATTCCCCCTTTGCCTGGCTTCCTGTAGAATCCGTTCTTATATTTATAATACTGTAACTAAATCTTCCTTTGCAATATCCATGCTCTTGATCCTTTATTGAAAGTGTTGAATTACAATCCTTGCAGCGATACTTAAATCCGCTGTGTTGCTCTTGTGCATGCCTATCTGCTGCGTATAGGTTCTCTGACTTAAATTTCTCACACATATTGCATACATAAGTGGTTACCTGGAATTAAAAAACAAATATTAAATGAAGTAATAACACGATATAACCAGACTGCATAAAATATGTATGCGCTCACTTAATATACATAGAAGTCACTATATTGAGTGGGCACTTTATAATTTCGCTTTGCACGTTTCTCATTTCTAGCTTCACCTTTCTCTTTAGATGCACGTTTAGATACACTGTCACTACAGTGCACAGGCCCAATGCTATCAATATCACCATCAACATTCTTATCATCACTTCTCTTAACAACATCACCACTCATAACACCACCAGTTCCATCTAAATGAATATTTTCACCATCACTAGCCAAAATTGTACTCGTTATTTCACTATCCATAGCCTCACTAACAATCCATTCTGGTTTGTTTTCTCCTAAATCGGTTTTAATCTGTCTCTGAGATTCCTGAATTCTGTATGTCACATCACCTATTTTCTTCACTATTAAAAACGGCCCTATCCAATGATTACGCAATTTTTGAGATAACCCTTTCTTCTTCGTTTGGTCATGTAACCACACTGCATCACACAATTTATACTCATGAAAATTTTTGTCATATCTCCTTTTCATTGTATCTGCAGTAAGTTTTAAATTTTCCCTGGCATAATCATGCACACATCTAATTTGTTCACATAATTGAAATGCATAATATGACTTGAATTGTTTCTGGTTTCCATGCTGAACTTCGCCGAACATCAAATCAATTGATTAGTTATTTTCCTTCCAAGCATCATGTATGAAGGCGACACTTTCGTTGCTTCATGCACTGAGATCTATAAGCCATCATCACAATCGATAAAAACAAATCCCAATCTCTTTGCATAGGATCTATGAAAGCTGTTAACATATTTTGAATTGTTTGATTTGCACGCTCTACCATCCCGTCTGATTTTGGTCTAAAAGGTGTAGTTCGTGTTTTCTCCATATTTAATAAATCACAAATTTCCTTCAACAGTCCGGATTCAAAATTTGTTCCTTGGTCGGAATGAATTTCTTTAGGAATACCAAACACACTGATAAATCGATCAATGAGAACAGATGCAACAGTTGCGGCTTCCTGATCAGGTATTGACACCGCTTCAGTCCATTTAGTGAAATAATCCGCAATCACCAAAATGTAACGATTTCCTCTTTCGGTTTCACGTAAAGGGCCCATAATGTCTATTGCTATTCTTTCCAACGGAGCTCCTACAACGTACTATTTCATTGGTCCTTGATAATTTCCTTGCAGCACACACATCGCAGATTTTACACATTTGTTGAATATCCTTCCTCATATTAAACCAATAAAATCTACATCTTTCCAAAGTTTTGTTTACGCCTAAATGTCCAGAAGTTCTAGAACTGTGTAACTACTTCATCACATATTTCTGTAATTCTTTAGGCAGGACTATTAACCATAATACTTCCTTTCCACAATCTGACTCCCATTTTTTGTACAAAACGCTATCCTTCAATGTAAGTGAATCATACCGGGCCCAGTAATGTTTCACTCTATTACACGAAGCTACATCAGCGGACATGTCATTATTTGGACTTATAAAAAATATGTTTTTTTGAACAAAGGAAAAAAAAAAGAAATGTCAGAATTGTGAAAATCTTACAGATGACTGACAAATGGATCACGGACAAATTCTGATCAGTAAAGCTTACTTGACTCTGAAGCAGGGGTGAATCAAAACATTTTTAAGATTTTACCTGATAAATTCCAACCCTCTTCATCCCTTTCTGAAACGGATCCTGTGCCTCGGATTCAGTTTCTGCCAAGATTGCCGGGAAAAAGTTGGGGATCTCTCCACCTTCAATAATCCCGAGAGCTGCATTGAATTAACAAAGATCTTTAATAAAATGAAAGTAAGTAAGTGCTCCTACAAAATGACAATATTAATTCTTTTTATAACGGACTCAACCCAACATTCTTCATTCATTTGAAGAAAAAAAAAACATGATCAGATGACATTTGCTTTCTTTAAAAATCCTTCCATTTCTCCACAGAGATATTGTTCTGTTGTATCATTTTTGCAAACAAAAAGATTTTATATTAACCCGCAAAAAATTTGTATATTTTTACAGCAATAACTAAACAACAATAATTGACCTTTATTGGTATCTGGAAGATTGGGAATACTTACAGAGAACAACAGCTGAATAAAAATAGTAGCTTTTAGCAATAAATTCATCAACTACTCTTAGCTTCGGTGATCCGCTCTCCATCGTGATAAGCTTTGACTTTGTCTCTTTCAAGAAGAGGGAGAAAAATTCCTTTCTTGGTCCACCAAGATCAACGGCTTGTTCTCCATAGAAGACAACTTCTATGGGGAATCTGATGTTTGGTAGGGTTGCACTTTCGTCAGTTGTATCCTCGAAGATGTTGACATGACTGACAAAAATGCCAGACGTCTCCTCCTCTACCACATCGTTCTCTGAGACGACATCCTTGTAAGAAGATATTTTGGTATGCTTGTAAAATTTTCGTTGGTTCGGCATTGTTTTTTTCTAATAATAATTAAAAAAAACCCAGAATAATGCCTGGTGCATTACCCCAGATAGTCAGACAATAATTAATAGAAGGCAGTATAAAGGCATTGTAGAATAGTTTTCTGGTTTTCAGAGGAAGAAATTTCTTGATTTTTCGCAAGGTAAATAATTTATATGTTAAAGATTTGCAGACTGAATCTACATGGTTATGAAAATTTAGTGTATGGTCTATATGAACCCCAAGTAGTTTTTCTGTTTCAACATTGTCAAGGTGTTTGTCAGAAACATGCAGACTCAACTTATTTAAGTTTGATTTTCTTTGATGGGTTCCCATCAGCATACATTTTGTTTTATCAACATTTAAAACCATTTGATTTTCTAAACACCATTTTTCAATATTTACTAAATCAGAATTTAGAGCTGTTTCAATGCACGATATATTGTTCTCAGAAACATGTAGAGTTGCATCATCGGCAAACATATCAATGTATGTTTGAGAGACATGTAAGGGAAGGTCATTAATATATAACAAAAACAGTAATGGGCCTAATATTGATCCCTGTGGCACTCCTGCTGTGACAGGTAAGACATCAGAAGATGTACCAATTTTTACACATTGTGTCCTGTTATTCAAATACGAGTGAAACCAATTAATTGACAGTTGATCATAGTTGTAATTCTTTAATTTATCCATAAGAATGTCATGACTTACTAGATCAAAAGCTTTAATTTGCTGAAAGCCAAGAATGTTATGCCTATGAGATTACCTTGGTCCATAGCATGCAACCAAGCATCTGTTAGTTTAGTGAGTGTTGTTTGACAAGAGTGAAATTCTCTGAACCCAGATTAAGATGTTGTAATTAGATCGAAAGTTGAGGTAAAATCTCGCTATTGGTTTGCTATGTGCTCTTCAATTAGTTTGGATAATGTTGGTAGTATAGAAATGGGACGGTAGTTACTAGGCTCTGCTTTGTTACCTTTTTTGTATACAGGGGTGACGTTTGCTTGTTTCAACTTCAATGGAAAAACACCACTACTAATGCTAGTATTAATTAAATGAGTGACTGATTTTCCAGTGATACTAGCTGATAGTTTTAAGAGACGAGGTCCAATGAGACGAGGTCCAATGAAGTCAATGCCTGCCGATTTATTTACATCAAGACCGTTTAACAAATCAAATACTACAGTTTCGCTAATAGGTGTAAGGCTAAAAAAGTTTTCATCACCAAGTTTAGATTTCGTAAATTGTTTTAACAATTCTGGGTCAAATTTGCAGTTTGGTAGATTATGCAATAGCTTACTTGAAATTCCTGTGAAGTGCTCATTAAAAATATTTGCAATTTCTTGTGAATTGTTAGTTTCTGATTCATTATTTATTTATTTTTATTTGTTGTTGTTGTTGTTTTTTTTTTACACAATACAAGTAATTAACATTTATTCCTATCAATAGATAATATTAAGATAAATTAAATGAGATAAAAAAAAAATTTCAGGCTAAGTGACCCACAAAGATTCGGACTTTCAGAAAAATGAGTACGGGGTAATGGAGGATTGACCTTCATCGGATATGGGGATGCACCGCTTCAAGCTCCACGCTAATGGGAAACACAGTTTCACAGCCTATGTCGATGAAAAATGTCGATGGTAATTAGAATCGACGATCTGTTAAATTATTTGAACAATCTATCTAATCCTTAACAAAACCGAAAATCCGAATAAAAAATGTCGCATCTGACATCGGCATGTTTATATCAGTGGGCTGAAATGATGTTAATAACAAGTTTGGCTTTCCAGAAAGCCTGAAATGTCATCTCTTTGGCTTCATTAATGTCACAGAATAAACAGTGGAATGTTATATTATTTTCTCAGCTATTACAAGCAGTAGCATCGCTTTTGAAAAAATGGGGGGTGGAGGACAAAAAAAAAAAAAAAAAAAAAAAATCGACGATTTAGCTGAACAATCTTTGACAAGGAGAAAAGGGGGCTATCCAAACTCAACATTTTTTTTTCTTGGAAGGAGGGATTACAACTTTTCCGACAAACATATTTTATATTATAATACATTCTCATGGGATGATTTGACGTACCATACTGCAACAAAAGGTGGAAGAGGGGTCAAGGGTGCGCCTTTTCAATGTTTGGGGAAAAAAGTGGAAGGGGACGGCCCTCCTGGTGCTATGTGCCTGTATTATTTAACCTGTTGTAAATATGCTTTATTCAGGTTAAATATATTTTGTATCATGTCTGTAAAAAATTCTAACCACTGAGAAATATTCGTAAGAATTATTTAAAGTCATATATTACGTTTTTTTTTTTTTTAAAAATAAGTTCAGACTACCTATGTTAAAAAGATCTTTCTATTTGTTTTATTACTTTATATAAAAATAGGACTTTCCTGTAAATTACACAATTTAAATCAATCACGTTTCAAAGATATTAGAAATTTAAAGCAAAAACCGATTTATTTACCGATTCAGATTTTAATTAACAGACACAGTTTAATTTTTTTTTTAATCAGTCGAACTATGGAAACATGAGGTTATTCAAATTCAAAATCGGTGAAAAATGTAATTTCATATAAATAACATATATCATGTTTAGCTACACCCAATCTCGTATTTTTATTTTTTAGCTCAGATACGCCATATATAGCTTTAACAATTATTCCGAAAGAAGATGGATATAAACTTAGCGTTCCTTTTGACTTTAGTTCTTAGCCGCCTACTACGGCAGCAAAGAAGTTTTAAAGCGCCAACTTAAATTAATCTGAACCTGAATTAATTCCAAGACTTTCCTTATTTTCCTTAATCGTATCGTCTGAAGTGACTTGGCCATCGAGCCACTGGGATTTGATTGATTATCGAGCCACTTTGAATATCAAGGGGAAAATTGAGACACTCCTGCATCATGTCCTTCTGCTGCCAATATGCAGATTCATGTGTTAACGCTATATTATGTATAATATAAGTACATGTACATGTATAGGCTCCTGGGAAAAAAATCATGCATAGAAAGGTAATAAAATTGAAACGTTACCATTTAAAATTAAGTATTAACACATCGAAAAGAACCCCAATCTACCAACATCGATTTTATAGGCTGTTTCATGAGACACACATTTTATAATTTTGGCTTTATTTCAAGAATACGAGGAGTGATTTTTTTTTTTACCTTTTCTCATTGACAAAAAACGCAAATTAGAATTGCATAAAGAAAATGATAACAGTTGCTTTGTTTATTAACTCTTAAAATCCGAGCCAGGTAAAGAAAACTGTATGTTTTCCTAATACTTTTCTACAGGGGCCGGTAAATTTAAATAAAAAAGAATATAGTGCACACATCCGAGAAAATACTTATATAATGATTCTTTATGATCTTTATTCCAATGCCTGCAGCACTGAGTTACTTAAATCAGAGACATTTATGTTTCTGCCTAAATTGTGTTTTTAGGCAAAATTTCTTTTCTTCGAACTTTATTATAATTATTTTTTTTTTTTTGAATAAGTTCTGTTTTATTTTTCATATATACGGCATTAATTATCGATTGACTAAAGTACACATAAAAGTAAAGTTTTTGCCATTGTATTTATGCATTTAATGTGAGTTGTTATTTCAATGTTTTCACTGTTTTCTTTCGTCAGTAAATCTTGGATCCACGCCTTGGCTGATACATTCAATATGCCTTGCTTTGTGTATTTTGATCCCCGCGCGCTGACCATCGTTTTACGCAATAGCCTAGATGCAATGTTTATGTATATAAACCGTTAATGAAGACCCACCACCACCCAAGTGATCCTACCTCTATTACTCTTAATGAACACTGGTGTAGTTTTACTTTAACTTTAAGATGGACCATTTTGTTTAATAATAATAAGAAGACTTTGGTCAATTTGGTTTACATCTCTATATTTAGAAATCGTGTCATCGTCAGTCCCTTTGCCAGCTTATCAATGGCAGCTTACACTAGGACTTTACTTCCGGTGATTCAAACTTAATGTGTCATCTCCCGAGGGAGATGACAAAAAGGTGAGCAAAGCTCAAATCATTAATAAACAATTTTGCAAAACGTTTTAACAACTTTCAGGTGTTCTCTTTAGATTGAAATGTATTCCGCGAAACCCAAATGGCAGAAGCTGCAAAAAGAAGTACAATTATATTTTACTTTCATTTTTCAAATTATGATTTTTAAAAGCATGGCTATTATAAGAAATGAACGCAAAGTCAGATTATATTTTGACCCTAAAAATTCTCTTTGACTCCCGCAAGTTTACTTCAAAGGGTCATGATCCTTGGTTTTCAAAGTTAGCAGAAACACTGTACTCGTTGCATAGAGCTTCAGCACAAGGCAGGAGAAGTAGTTAAAGGACAAGCGGTAGAATATTGATTGTAAGTACAAAGTAAGATGAATTGTTTAATTTTTAGATATATTGAATTTATTGTGAAGTTCTTAATTTCACTGACATTAATACTGATTTTCTGAAATATGGTGGAGTTGCCCACAAACACATTGTGTGATACTCGTTACAAAGAGATTCAGCACAAGGCGGAGAAGTAGCTAAAGAATAATAGGTAGAATATTGATTGTAAATACAAAGTAAGATGAACGGGTTTATTTTAGATATATTCTATTTATGTTTAGATTCCTTAAACCAACAGTCTTTTTTCAGGGTTTGTTAATTAACTCCTCTAAGCTCATATTATCAACATCTCAACAGCACAAGAATAGCTATAAATAAAATGGAAGTTGGAACTGGCAGGTATCAAAGAATCGTGCACCAAAACATATGATACTTAAATTAATAATCCCAGATGAAGTGCAGATGAGTAAATTGGAACCACCTGACTGGAGTCATGATTTTGTCTCTTTTATTTTTATTATCATTTTTTAATGGAGGTAGGTTCACTTTATCCATTAAATGGCCCGTCCATATTGCAATTCAGTATATAAATTCAAATGTCATCCCATTTCAGACATCAATATGAAGTAGAGATTTGGGGCTTTCATTTCCTATAAATAAAAATGCAGATATTGGGGTTTTTTTTATTGGCGTTTTTTTTTTATTTTCTGTAATGAATGTTTAATTTTGTATGAAATTGTTTTGTTCAACACTCAAGTCAATTTAATTAAGGGGACTCATGTTTCCTTTAATATTTTTTTTATTATGTGGTTAGCATTTATATAATTCTGTTTTAAGGACATGCACAGTGGGACCAGACAACATTTCTGGATACACGAAAGTGCTTGCCTTGGCTGACTCTTTAGTGACACTAAGGGACAAGGCCACAATGACTACAGCACAAGTTCAGCAACTGAAAGATCTGTGGTCAGCACTTTCGGAGTATGACAGGAGGCGGACAGTTTTCCCATCTCTGTTCTCTAAAGATCCAGGACAGGGAAGATTCAGGCACAAACAAAAGAAAGTTGCTCCAGGAGTAGAGAGTATTGAGAGGTAAAACCATGTACATGTATTAAGATATCTATGCCTTCATTTATTCAATATTGTGTTGTTTCACAAGAACTATTAATTTAAAAAAAAATTATGTAATTATGTAAAATTGTGTTAATTCCACCAGGTCTGTGTATACTAACATTGAATTGCTTTTAGGGTAATTCTGGGCCCGAACCAAAGTCCTGCCCAGTGGCCAAACTGCAACCGTTACACTTAGGCAACTGTGGAGAAATTGATCCAGTTTTACCCGAGTGACCAGAGAAGAGATGGCAAGGTGGTTATCACAAAATGGAATGCTGTCCTTGAGGCCTAACACAAGATCAGAAAGACCATTTTGAATAACCACTTGGCAATGAAGGTGACCGATATCCAGCTTCCTCTCCTTAACAAGACACTTCAGCAGTGGTTAGTTGAGGTCTTTGCTTTTAATTGATTTGATAGAAGTCAATCATTATTTAGAGAAATACAATAACATTGAATTTAAAACATAAACATTTTGAACTTTAAAACTTCTGTGGCACTTGAATGCAAAATTGATATACATGTATTTAAAATTTAAAATGCAGGTTCAATGAGGAAGTAAGGAACAAGACAAGAAGGTCCTTCTCCAGGGACTTGTGCTGCCTATACCCACTATGACAGTTGCTAGGGCACCAGAGGCAGTGTCTAAGCCGATGTCTCTTCCTTCAGGCAGCACAGAACCATTTTCATTCCACGACCCACCTTCAACAATTGGCATGGCTAAATAGGAGAGGAGACGAAGGAAACCAACTTCCACATTCAGACCTACAGTGGCTCCTATTCTCCCTCATCCTACTCCTAGCAACCATGGAATCACCTTTCAGCTGGTTACCCAAATTGGTAACTCTACAGTTTTGATTCCATCCAGCCAAATTCCATACTCTACAGAGCAGTATTGAAAAGGAAAGAGGAGCAGGAAGAGCTATGAATGCCAAAGAGGAAGTATGTGAGAACAGCCACTACAGTCAAATGTGGAAAGTGTGGAGAAGACAGGACCCCACCAAACCATCAACAGTACATGGGGTACCGATACTGTGCCAAGAAGGATGAAATGTCTTTTAAGGTGTGGAGAGAGAAGTTGCAGAAGAGTGGAGCAGCGAGAAAGAAGAAGTGTGTTTTTTTAAATGTATAAAAAGATAATTTTGACTGTCCCCGCGTGGCGCAGTGGTTAGAGCGTCTGCTCTAGAGTCGCGAAGTAGGGAGTTGATCCTTACGTCGCGGGTTCGAATCCCACTGTGGGACGTGGAGACCGGTCTTTCGGATGGGACCGTATAAACCAAGGTCCCGTGTCGCAGAAGGTGCTGGCACGAAAAAGACCCCTCACTGCTCAATGGCCTTAAGTGCCGAGTATAGGACAAAATTTGCAGCTCTCCACCGGCAAGTGGTGGCGTCTCACCATGAGTGAAAAATTCTCGAGAGGGACGTTAAACAAAATACAATCAATCCGTGACAAGTGTTTTGTCATGGAATGAAGTAGATTTCAGTTGTGATGTTTATTTATCACTGTTATCGTCACCATTCCTTTGATTTCGACGCCATTTTTTGTATTGAACAGACTCTAATATATAAACCAGACCCGAACCGAAATCCGGAAAAATGGAACCAGAACCGAACAACTTGGACAGCGGTTTTCGGTTATTTCGGGTACTCGTGACAGCCCTACAGTTATTATTACACAGGCAACAATGTTCTGCGGACGTAAAAGCGATTGAAAAAAGGCCGAAACTTGGTTAAAAGTAACCGAATTCAAGCAGATTCCTTTCTGTTTGAAGAAGGTGATATGTACCTGTTAGGTATTGTTGGAACATCCATGAAAAATAAGGTAAAATGTTGAATTTAGTACTAAGTTACCAAAAGAACTGATATATTACTTTGCAAACTATAAAATTTACATTATACAGTCAAATTCAAAGGTTTTCCTAAAACATCACTTAAGTTCCTCTGAGTCACAACATGTTTTTTTAAGACCACAATGTACATATCAAAATGTCATCTATTTACAAGTTTATACATGGTCACAGTTCATTTATTACTCTCATAAAAATTGTCCAAGAAATCGTCCATGAAATCTGATAACAAGTCCATCACTGGCACCTCTTTCATTTCTTCAGTATAAGAAAAGTTTATTTCTTTAATAATTTCTGAATGTCCCTCCTTGTGTTCATTTTTTCTATCAATTAACTGAATGGTAATGGATTTCTTTTCCTCGGAAACATTGTCTTTTTCTTCCTCATTACTGTCCACGGCATTCTCTTCGGTTTTGTCACAATCCTCAGAATCTTTTGATGGCTCGAACTCTTCTTCATCAGATGAAATATCCTCATAAAAGTCACTTGTCACTTTTCACGGTAAAATCCATATTCCGGTCATTAGAAAAATTTGGAATATCTTCTGGTGAAAGGTCATCTAAAACTTCCATTAAACTGTGTTGCGAAAAATAATGTCTTTTAAAGTTGAAATTCTGTAAATATCCGTTGACAAATGTACTGATAAACTTTCTTCTTGGAATAATGGTGTTCTTCTAAATGTCTTTGTAAATTCCTTTTATATTTGTACGTAATATTGCAGTCAAAACATTGGAACATGTTCACATAGAAGTGAATTTTAAGTATTTATTTTCTAAATCTTGTTGGGGTTTTCTTGGGTTCCATCTGGGTTTGGGTTGACAAATGTCCATTATTCTCCTTCCTTTTCCTCTCTAACGGTATATCCTGGGTCTTGTCTTTAACAGGTAAGGTGTTTTCGACTTCAGAATTTCCAGTGTTGTTAAATTGACCTTCAATGTTCTCTTCAGGGACTTCATCACTTGGGCATAAATTTGGAATGATAACATCTGGTTCACTATTTGTAGCTTTCTGAATAATGCGTTGCGTTTTCAAATAAGTTGTCTTGTTCACTTTCAATGGTTTAAGATTGTCCGCATGAATTACAACAGGTTTTGAAGAAATAGAATGTTGAATTCGATATAACACATCACTGAGTTTTTCAGTCACAACCCAAGGTCCACTCCCAATTTCTTGCAAGTTTAAGTTTGGTTCCTAATATTTGTTGAGGTTGGAAACGACACACAGTATCACCAACACAGTATTGAATTTTTCTCACATTTTGATCATAATTTTTCTTCTGAGTTTGGCTACTTTTCTTGGTTTCTTCTCTAGCAATTTCATGGCATTGATCTAATTTTCGTTTCAACTCACGAACATTGTCATGATAATTGTTTGAGACACCAATGACACTATTATCTTGATCAGAGAATAAATCAACCGGCATCACCATTTCTGTTCCAAATAACATTCGGTAAGGACTTATTCCAGTTGTTTCATGCACAGTACTGTTGTAAGCCATGGAATTTGTCCCAATCATTTTGATGTAAGGTAATGTATTTTGACAGCATATCTATAATTGTACGGTTCAACCTCTCTACCATTCCATCTGATCTTGGGTGAAACGGAGTTGTACGGGTTTTCTGAATTCCAAGTAATGAACACAAGTTTTGAAAAAGTTGACTTTCGAATTGTCGGCCTTGTAACGCAGAAGGGCATCCATAACGTTTAATCCATCCTTTGAATATAACATTAGCGACAATTTCAGCTTCCATATTTGGGATCGGGAATATTTCAACAAGCTTCGTAAAATAATCTGCTACCACAAGAAAACGGTCCAGCAGTATCTGCTGCTATTCTTTCCCAACGTCCTCCTGCTATGAACGATTCCATAATACTTCGCTTTTGTCCTTGTGGATTCTTTCTTTCTTCACACACATAACACGATTTCACATAATCGGTCACATACTCAAGAATTTTTGGCCAGTAATTAGAACTCTTGATTCACTTTACGAATATTCCTCTGAATTCCAAAGTGTCCTGAAACTGGTGAATCATGGAGATACCACATCACGCATTGATTTAGGTGTACATATCCTCAATCTCACTTTATTCAATTCCATCCATTTAACACACAAAACATGTTGGTGAACTTCTAGAATTTCTTATCTATTGTCCCAAAAGGTACACTCAGGATCAAATTCTGTGATTACACTACTAGATGGTTTGTTTTCAGATCAAAATTTCTCAAACAATTGAAGAATCGGCCCAATTCCTTTGTCATTTTCTTGTTGATTACGAGTTTCTTCAAACGTAAATTGTAGATCTGGTATTTCTCGTTGTTTAGCACGACGTGGACGATTACGTTTTCTCCTTGTAGTTGGTACTGTTTCAGGCTCAGAATCACTTTTCTCTTCATCCTTACTTGTCACATTTAATAACTGGAAAATGTCACAGATGATGTCATTTGCCCCTCGATAGTCTCATTTGAATTTTCCCGCAGATCTTTCTCACATGAGTCACTAAATCACCATCATCGATACTATGTTTTTGTTTACACTGTTTACAATTTTTTTTTCATTTAAATCCTCTTTTGATAATCGGTAATGTGTGCACAGTACAAAAAAAGTTGAACGCAACGTAAACATTAAAAATAACAAAGATCGTGCCCTGCTTACAAATTTCCTTGTCGTTCAATTCATTAAACTGAAATTATTTTTGAATTAAAAAAATGTAAACAAAATGGCAATATGCAATTGATCACATGCCCCTTTAAAAAGTTTACAAACCAATTCTAAAGTAAAGCCAAAATTAAACCTGTTATGTAACAAATCAATAAAAGTAAGTAATAGAAATTATCAATATTCAGACATCTTCCAGGAAGATATTTTTTACTTTGACTTGATTCTCTTTGACAACAACTTGTCTTATTGCCTCTTCCTGTAATGTTGAAAATAATGAAAAGAATTGTGCAAATATGTATTTTTTTTTATTATTTCCATAGAATACTAAAGATATATTTTAATAATTTAAGATTCGCTCTCTTAAAGAAGATGGGCGTGTTTGGCGTGTGATCTGCAGGAATCATGTGTACGAAACATTTATAGTTTAAATGTCCACGATTTGGTTGGCTGACCACAGCTGGACAGGCTTTACAAAGATACGCACATAGGAAAATGTTACATTTAGTATGAAATAACATGTCAAATTGTAATATTTAGGTCCGCTTATCTTAATAATCAAACTTTAAGATAGTAATGCTTCACATAAATAATAAACACCTACAAGATAATAAGGGTATAGTTAAATGCAATTACAAGTACGTGTATATTAAAGTGTTACATGTAGTAAGAATTGCTTTCGCTCTTGATGCAACAGAACCAGAATATACCCATTTTAAAATAAATCAGGACAAAAATATTAAACTGACAAAAGAATTGATTGCTTTCATTAAAAAAAATATTAACGCTCCATGCGAGGATCGAACCAAAAAGTTCCCGACTCCATTTGCATTGAACGGGTAACGCATATTACTGAGCTATCACGGCTACACGTACAATTTGGC